GTCACTAGGAGTCAAGTTTTTGAGTGAAGAGGTTTGTAAACAATAGGAGAAGGGTAGAAGTGACTCTTGAAGTTATATTTCAAGTTGTTTTAAGGAAAGTATTAAGACTTTATTAGTAAGGAAGTATAAAACTTTCTTGCGAACATCTTTTTTGTGTGTGGTCAGAGGATCAGCGGAAAGAGTTTTGATATTAATTATTTTATAACTAATTTATATAAACTTTTTAAAACTTTATTATTAATAAATATATAAAAAATATGATTTAATTTAATTTTTTAAAAAAAAATGATATTATTAGTTTATTATTATCATTTTTAATATATTTTTTAATTTATACTATATATATATTTTCATTTTTTTAAAATAATATTTAGTTAATAAACTAGATATTTTATATTAAATAGATTCAAAAAAATATTTTTTTATATATGTTTATAATCTATAAAGGCATCAATATCATATTTTATGATACTCGTAAAATGAAAATAATAAAAATAAAGAAAAATTAATCGATTTTTTATTTTCCATAGTCTAAAATTCATGTATTTGCTGTTATTAAATGTAACAATTAAGCTTGATCCCAACTTAAAGAATTGACTATATAATATATCGGCTCACGTGAGGTAATCGCAATTACGTATACATGCGTACCATCATTGGACAATCAGTTCCGAGGAGCCATTTATCGTCAAATGACGTTAACATTTCGTAGAGTGTTGCGTCATACTATACTTCACTCGTGAGAGTATATAAATACTCTTCGACCACCTTACCTTTCTTGTGATTATTTTTATTTTTATTTTTATTTTTTTTTATTTTTTTTTGGAACTTAAAAAAAAAAAATCGTCGCATGCAACAATGAACCACTCGACACAGGGTCAATCTTTTCATAATACAGATAAACCATCCATTGATAATATTGATGTCAATTCGATTGCATTTTTTAACGCTCCCGTGCATTCTCCAGACTTTCAAATGCCTACAGGAATTCCCAGCATACTGCCGCCGCCCACAAATAACCAATTATTTCATCTTCCAACTCCAAAGATCCCTAATTTAAATCCGTCCATAAGCCAACCATCTTCACAATTCTCAACTCGCTCATCGCGTAGTTATTCGTTATCATCTGGCCAAGGAAACAAATCAAACCAATGTACAAATTTTGACCAGAAACGAGAGATGCGTTTAGAACGTAATCGTGTTGCGGCAAAAGAATGTCGTGAAAGGAAGAAGGCGTACGTCCAAAATTTGGAACGAAAGGCCACCGAGATGCAACAAGAGAATGCAACTTTAAGAAAGAAAGTTTATGATCTGAAAGCGCAACTTGAATGGGCCGAATCAAAGGTGGCTGAAAAAGACCAGTTGGAATCAATGGTGCAAAAATTAAAAGCAAAAATTATGAACATGGAGAAAGGGAATGGTAGTGTTAGGATTTGATTATGTTGACAATTTTTGCAAAGGAACGTATGCAGATGCTGTCTTAGTTTTATTTTATTTTGCATGTAGTGTCCAATACAGCAAATCCTTTAACTCAAAAATTTTGTGACGAGCACGTCTCCTACGTGATTAGGCTGCTTTGCGTACAGCGTTAGATCGTAAATTACGTCATTTGTTTCACCAGATTATATTTTTCGGATTGGTGGTACGGATAATAGATCAGCCAATAAAGTTGTATCATATGTGTAAATTTTTTTTTTATTAGTATGAATTGATTCGGACTTCTCGTCTGAGCTTTAGTAAAAAGTATATGTTGAGCTTTATTGTCATTATATCATTACTTTTATGTAATAAATTTTGATTCGGAAATCGGTATGTACTCTCAAATTTATTAACATCTTATGTTGAGTCTAATAATTGTCAATAATGCATTTATGTTGTTTTATAGAAAAATAAAGTAAAAAAAAAAAAAAATGGCCACTGCCTACCCGGCATTGAACGAACTTTTTCTCTTTCTAAATACCACCATCACAAATGTCTCGACGTTTTATTCGAGGATTCCGGGGTCAGGAATTCTTTTGAAATACATCAAAAACTCTCACCAAAATGATCCATTTCGTACTACCTTGGAGATCTTGTTGGTGTTTTTCGCGATCATATACTTGTTTATGAACAAATACCGGACTGATAACAATTTTATCGAGTTAACGCCAAAGGTACCATTTTGATTTTGATTTTTGGAGAAAATATATTAATCGATAGCGCTCATTTCGTCATTGGCATTGCAGGAGGTTGATGAATTGATTGAAGAGTGGCATCCCGAACCACTGGTTTCTAAAATTTCCGAAGAAAAAAGGATTGAATTAGAAAAGGTCCCTGTTGTAAATGGGTACTTTGTTTTTTTTTTTTTAATGATCGCTTAGGACTCGGTGTCTTTACAAAACTACGATAGTCGATTCCTTCTTTTATTAGTCCTACTGGTCCAAAGGTTAAACTGGCGAACGGAAAGATTTTGATGAACTTGGCAAGTTTTGATTTCCTCGGATGTTCCGCAAATGAGCAGTTAAAGGTAAAGGATTTTTGAAGTGGAAGAATAAGATTCCACGGAAAATTTTAATTGACCATCTCTTTATTGCAGGAAAAAGCAGTTGAAATTCTCAGACGTTACGGTGTGGGCTCGTGTGGCCCTCCGGGATTTTATGGCACAATTGGTAATCGACTGATCACAAAGCTCAAACAGGTTTATTCATCAAATCTGATAGAATCCCAATTATACAACGTATAACAGATGTTCACACCGAGTTTGAGAGAAGAGTATCAGAGTTTCTTGGTACCGAAGACACAGTGTTGTATTCCCAAGGGTTTTCTACTATCGGATCGGCCATTCCTTCATTTTGCAAGCGAGGCGACATAATTGTTGCGTAAGCGGTGTCATGTGCGATTTCAGGATTCTCAATATAAATTATGTCTGATGATTTCACTTTATCTCCAGAGATGAAGGGTGTAACTTTGCGATTCAAAAAGGAGTGCACATTTCTCGTTCTATCATTAGATGGTACAAGCATAATGACATGGAAGATCTGGAAAACATTTTGCAAAAAATCAAGGATGAAGATGTTGAGGTATCATTCGAGGCCATTTTGTGATAACTTGCACAAGAAAAAACTAATTGTATATTATTTTTTTTTTCGAAGACCGGAAGGCAATTAACAAGAAGATTCATTATCACCGAAGGCATATTCGAAAATTATGGTGATATTTCGCCTTTACCCAAATTGGTAAGATATTATTGGTAATTCGTGGATGCTTGCCGAGTTTGCAACTATCTTTCTATATTTTCTCGTTTATTGAGCAAGCAATTTTTTTAAAGCTTGAACTAAAGAAAAAATTCAAATATCGACTTATTCTTGACGAAAGTTTCTCATTCGGAACATTGGGTAATCGTGGAGCGGGATTGACCGATTATTTCAACGTAGATGTGAGTAATCACTTTATTACTTTTAATCTCGACATTTACAGATTTTTCTTGTTGACAATCGAGAAATCCTTGCAAATTTTAGCCCACCGAGGTTGATATGATCGTAGGTTCGATGTGTAACTCCTTATTTTCATCGGGTGGTTTTTGTTCCGGCACTTTTGAAATCACCGATTATCAGGTGACATAAGATTTATTTATTTTATTTATATTTATTATTATTTTTTTTTTTTGTTTTTGTTTTTTTAAAGAAAAATCTTTATTTATCTAGAGAATTTCAGGGCCAGCATATTGCTATTCCGCTGCTCTGCCTGCAGCGCTAGCAGTATGCGCGACGGAATCACTTTTAAACTTAGCTCGAAATCCAAGCCTCCCTGAGACGATTCTTTCAAACACAAAAACCTTCAAAAATGGATTGGCAAATATGAAATATGCCAAAGTTGTAGGATCACTTGACTCGCCCATATTTCATTTGAGACTAAATGGTGATGAGATAAAAATCGACAATGTAGAAGAAAAGGATAAGCTTCTTCAGGAGATTGTTGACGAGGTACCTTTGTTTGTTCTTACATTTACCGATTTCTCAACTTTTCACATTCTAAAATTTTGCATTTTCACAGGCCATGAACAATGGTATTCTGTTGACTCGAGCGAAATACGTAAGATCTCAGGAAAATTTTTATATCGAACCAAGCATCCGCGTCTGTATTTCTGCTGCTTTTACCAAGAAAGAGATTGAGAAAGCAGCATCAACAATTAAAAATGTTATCACCAAAGTTCTAAAAAACAAGATCAAATTGGATAGCTCGTAAACAAGTTATTATTATTCTTTTTTAAACTTAATTTTAGTATTGTAATTATGCATTCATGCACTTCAACATATGCTTAGAAATAATTTATTTTGTCCGATTAATGTAGAAATAACCTACTTATTTAGTCATCATTCATTCATTCATCCATCTATTTTAATGTAAATATTATTGCTTATTCGTTTTATTTACATGTTTATTCTTTGCATGGAAGGAGACTCTTGGTTGTGATTTCTAGCTGTTCCAAGTTCTTGCGCAAGAATAGTGCAAATGGCACATGAGAATAAAAAAAAAACAAAAAAAAATAAAATTTAATGATTACATAAAATAATACACAATTAAATTTATTTAATCTAGGTCTTGTTATTATATAATTTAAAAAAAAAAAAATCAATGTCATATTATCTAAACACGTTAAATTATTTTTAATGTGTTCACCGGCAGATATTCGCGGTTATATAGGCACCATTAAGAATTTTCTCCAGCGCGTCACCCTTTCCGTGTACGAGACCCATACACATGTCATACTTGTCAAACGATGACTTCTCCGTACTTCGCGGCGAAAAGATTTTCAATCATGACTTTGTCGATACGACTAAAGAAAATTTCTGATTTTGGCAGTTAATGTTTGTGCGACCATATGCAACATGCAATATATGACAACGATAGCTAGTGGTTTTTTATGAGTGTCACATTGTGCAGATGTAGCAATATTTACATTTAATAATATACAATTTAATACGTAACCGTTTTTTAATTATGTAATTATGTATGCGCGTACCACCGAAATTAGAATTACAAGTCTCTAAAAATCCCAGAATTCAACAAGAAGAATAATTTTTTTATTTATTTAAGAAATGACATTGTGTGCTCTGAAAGAACCTGTTGATCATGAAAACAGGGTCATGCGCTTCTCGGTTTTGCAGATGTGATCTATGATTTAGATCTCCATCATGTAAAATATGACGAGCGGAATTATATTTCAGTAATTAATTAAATGTAATAGCAAGAATTTATGATTTAAATTATTACGCGTGTTTACGGAGCGCCATTATAAATTACAACATAATGAAAGTCTATAACATCATGAACATTCTATTTAAGAAAAATTCTTTGTAAATTTTTGAATTTCAAAGTTTACAAGCAAACCCTTATTACCTCCACCTAGTATAAGTAAAATGACATAGCAAGTAGGGCCAATGACAATACATATACATTAATCGCCAATTTGTTGCTACTTGACTTGGACTGTGGAGAGGGTGTGCTTGTGGATCCACTTCCATTACTAGTGGCACTTGCTGCAGTTACTAATTGATCGCTCGAGGTTTGGGATGAACTATCCGTGGATGAAAGAGCGCTGTTGGTCTTATGAGCCGAGGCAGTTGTGGTGACGTTGGCAGAGGAAGACGGGGTAGAACTGGAGCTGGCGGTGGAGCTAGCGTCGGCAGTTGTGCTGGTTAACGGAGTGCCGGGATTGCTAGGGTTAAAATTGGGAATTGTACCATTAATGTTATCTATTTCGAAATCGGCAGAGTAGGCGGTATAGGAGCTGGATGGTTGGGTTACTCTTATGAAGCTAATGTTGAGATTTCGATAGGGTTAGCATATGGGAGAAGATGTGAAGAGAATTTCCAAGTTTATACTATACGTACTAGAAACTCCCCTGAGGACCGAGGTTAGCAGGTACGGTATAAGTTAATGATAAGGAGCTTCCTTGAACATTGTTCGCGATTTGTGCAACTGGAAATTGAGTATCTTGCGTGCCTATGGATTATTATTAAAAAAAGAATTAACATCGAATGTCCTGTTACCCGTTATACAGTATGAAGACTATTCTATCCAATTATATCCGAAGCTTACCGGCCATTAATTCAAAGACCAGGTTAGTCAAAGTAGACAATAATGGAGCTTGATTATTATCTTGCCATTTAATTTGTTCGGTTTCTCCACCCTTCCACACGATTCCGGTATAAGGGTTAAGAATTTCCACACCGGCTTCCGCGGGCATGGTAGTGAAAAGGATTAAGAATGAGGTGATTGTAAGAACGAGTATTAATGATTTCATTTTTATTCTTATGAATGCGAAGGAAAGTGAATTCGGTGTGTGTGAAAGAAAGAAAGGAATGGGTGTGTCGAGGAATGGAAGGGAGGGCGGGTAAAGAGAGTTGCGATAAGGGCTAGGCGGATGAATAACTTTATTATATTAAATTTCTGTAACACAACGCATGTAATTACTACAGTATTACGACTCACAGTACATGCCATTTTGTTTATATTATGTGATCACCTTGGTATCTTCGGGCTATTCCAAATAGGGATTTCAACCATTGAAAAACTGGTGTCTATATGCATCGTCTTACATTTGTGAAGGTACCTCTTGTTTGGGTTTAACCCATGTATGACAACTATTTTGGGGCGTGAATTGCGACGGAAGCATTAAATCTTTGACCAAGTTGAATGCTAGTCGGAGATTGCCAGTGTGTAGATGTCATTATAAAATAGAGATTATTTAAATTAAATCTTTAGATTTTCTCAAAGTTATTGCATGCGGTAATTGTAAATGTTTGTCTGTACTTATCATATAATAATGATAAAAGGAAGAGTCATTTGATTATTTTGGATATGCTGCAAATTAAAAATTTCGAAATTGGAATACAAAATAAACCGAATTAATGTACTGTAATTCCAAATGAATTAATATATTTGATTTTTGATAGTTGATTATTTTATATTTACATTTATTAGTATCATTATTTTTTAACGGCTAGCTCAATCAAAGATACTGTAAGCATACTATATTGTAGATGGTGCAAGTCAATTAAAATATATCGAAAGACTAATGATGAATGAAAATTATATAAAAGCACGCTACTATTTTCAAGAAAATAGGGAGAACCCAGTGGAGAGGTTGACCGATAAAATCTCATTATATAAAAATAATATTTTTTTGAATCCAGTTAAGAAATATCTTATGATTACTGTACTGTATATACATGTATATATCATAATTGCAGCAAAGTTTTATATACACTAAAAATAGTTATTAACATAAATACATTGTCACAACAAAAAAAATAATCAATCTTATCCTTTTCAAAATTGAGAGTTCAAAATCATATATAAAAATAATCTTAAATAATGAATAATTGCTAGAGATAATATTAATTGGGAAGAAGCTATTTTATTTTTCTTTAATATAAAAAATCTTTTATAACCCTTTATTATATAAGATACAAGAATACAAGACAAAAAAAATATAAAATATTTATTACTTGTAACTTAAAATCAAAAAGTTATAATAAAAGAAAATCAGAATTCAGATATATAAAAATTATCTCTATAGATAATATCTTTTTTTTTTTGTAATACCCATAGTTAGATTAAATTGTAATTTATTAACTAATTAAAAAAATAAGTATATTTTTATTTAAACAATATGATATATACTATAGTTAAACTTTTCTAATCAAGTATAATTAATTCATTATAAGTAAAAATAGCTTTAAGTTTAATTTGAGAACAATATTTCATTCTATAATAAACTTTGGATAAAGATTTTCTTAATCTATTATACTATTACTAATAGATTATTATTGTTATATATTTTATCAAATTATTGAATATAAGAAATTACAAATAAAATTAAAAAACTCTTTCCACTGATCCACTATTTTTCTAAAAATTTCCTTTTTTGATAATTTTTCGAAGAAAAAGGATAACACAATCTAAGCTCAGCAAACACAGTAAAGAGAAACACAACTACATCACCCCACTTGGAGCAATATATAAAGCTCTATAAACAAGCCACCAGAAGAAGAAACATAATAATAATATTAGTACTTTATCCATCAACTTTTGAGGAAAAGGGAAAACAAAAGTAAATCTAAATCACAGTAAGACCAAGGGACCCAACATCAACTCTCCTAGCTTTCAACCAGGCCAGTGCAGATTTACACATTTCTAGACATTAGAAGGAACCTGGCAATATAATAATCTCAACTGATAAACCAGTCTAAACTCAAAATTTGCAAGACCCAAAAGGACGTCAGGAGCCCAAGAGCAACAACTAGAGATTATCAATAACAACACATTAGCAATACATAAACAACTAGCATGTAATACAAACACGAACACGTCCCTTTAGATAATAGAGACATATCAATAGATTACATGATGTGTCTCTAAATAAATAAATAAGCTCAACACGTGTTTTAGCTAATCACAAAACACGTTCCTCATATTCGGTTTATCCCTTAATAGAACCAGTACATATGTTACTGAAATCAACAAATAAACAGATAAACAATCTGCAACCCATGTTTATCCCACAAGTGATATACTAGCACAATAGATATATTAGGAAACCCCAGTAATACTATCTGAAAAAGTAAACAAATAAACAGAGTTAATCCACGAAGTGTGACTCATTCAATAATCACATGACACAGCAAACATAGATAGGGCACAACATATTCTTCATATAGTAAACAAAAGGGCAGAGGATATCTTGAATACTTTAATTAAACTTTCAAGAAAGCACGACGAAACCTCAGAAATATGGGTATCCCAACAATTGGTAAGGCAAAAAGAAGGAGATCCAAAAGAAGAAACAACTCCCATATCAGAAACTTTTACTATCCTAGATAGTATTATTACTAATATACTAGGAATAGATAAAACAACATTCCATAAGGAATGGATCCTTATTCAATATATCCTAAACCTCTGGCAACAAGGAAAGGGAAAAGAAGAAGATCTTCTACAGCCTTATATAAAAGACAAATTCATAAAAATTATCAAGAATACAAGTGAATCACAGGAGCCAAAAAGTCAACCGATGGAGATCACAGAACATATAGATACTGAGTCAACAATAGATAATGAAATCACAATGACCAGTAATCATGAACAAGAAGAGGCCGAAATACAAAGGCTTCAAGAGAAAATAAAAGGCAACAATATCAGTAAGTATAACTTATATGACATGAGAAACAGGGATTTTACCTCACCGACAAATCCATATTTTATTGGAAAAGAAGGAATATATAGACTCAGTGCCATAACAGTCAATATTTCAGGGAAAACAGAAGAAAAAGCCAAGGCCTACCTGAGCAATACCTTGAAACTACCACAGAGAGAAAGACATCTCTTAAAGAAAGAATTTATCAATAGAAATAAATGGTTGACCTTCTGGGTACAAGAAGAAGAAGATGTTCTAAAATACATAGAAGAGATAAACTACAAAGAGGATAACTTCACTATTCAACAAATAACTCCTCATACTCCACGTTCTACCCATATGACCAAAAAAAGAGAAAAAAAAAATCTTTCAGGAATTCAAAGAAGAAAATAGATCTAATATATGACATATCAGCCTAATAGATTTAGATCAGAAGGTTTCCAGAAGTTATATAGCTAAACATCTCAAGAGATATGGAATAGTTCAAAATATTCATATCTATAAGGTCAAAATGAAGACTAGGGCCAAGGCCTATTTCAAGCTTCATAAACATATTAAATAGGATCTCGCAGAAGCATGGACAACATCTATAGGTACTGAAATGTCCAGAGCCATCTTCACTAAATCAGAGCTGACTGATGAAGAGATAAATGCCATCCTAATTGAGAGAAATATCAACTCAGCTAGATTGTTGTGTACAAACAAAACATATATCAGCTTGATAGCAAAAGCTTTACATGGTATCCAGGCAAAAGCATGCTATACTCCCAAAAACCCTTACACATTAAAGAAACAAAACTTTACAGTTGTCTGTTTTGCGACAAGAGAGGATAGGGACAAGGCATGCAAACAATATATTTTCTTACAAGACTTAAGACTATTCTGGAGCGTGAAGAATCCCAGTAATAGAGAAAATATCAGCCCTATAAGTAAAGAAAGGAAATCACGCTATCAAAGATCCCAAAAAATCAATATAGATAATGACTCAACTTCAGATTCACTATCAGGC